TTCCCACTCCTCGTGAACATAACAGACCTGACACTCCGAGTGTGATGCTCTGCATATGCTGGATTTTGCACAACCCAGGCGCAATAGTAACGAATGGAAGCGCAGTGTTTACATGGAGGCTTCAGTGGTGCGCGTGTTGAACTACGGCTTTGACCGTAAACATGCCGCCTGACCTTTCTCAGTGCAGCAGCCGAGCATGGTGACAACGTTAGGGTGAGGGTCGAGCAGCTTCATCACGTCCATCTCCAGCAGCAGATCCTTCTTCTCCTTCTCGCCGGCCGCTTCCTTCAGCGTCTTCACAGCCACTGTGCTGACGCCCTCCACGCCTGCGGCGCCGAGCGGGATTAGTGGAACGCGGCGAACATGCGCTGAAATTTCTGAAGCCATTCAACGGTCACCACAGCGTCTGTAGTTTGGGGATTATCTAAAGCCATTCAACAGTCACCACAGTGTCTGTAGTTTGGGGATTGTCTGAAGCCATTCAACAGTCACCACAGCGTCTGTAGTTTGGGGATTGTCTGAAGCCACTCAACGGTCACCACAGCGTCTGTAGTTTGGGGATTGTCTGAAGCCATTCAACGGTCACCACAGCGTCTGTAGTTTGGGGATTGTCTGAAGTTATTCAACGGTCACCACAGCGTCTGTAGTTTGGGGATTGTCTGAAGCCATTCAACGGTCACGACAGTGTCTGTAGTTTGGGGATTGTCTGAAGTTATTCAACGGTCATTGCAGCGTCTGCAGTTTGGGGATGGGCTAGGAAAGGCGGATGATCCCGTTTTGCGGGCGTCAGAGGCCCGAAGAGGAGTAGAGCAAAATAAACGCTGGGACCAGCGACCGCTTAAGGACCCGTGCTGGGACCAATGACCGTACTGGAGCCAGCGCTCGCGCTGGGGCCCGCACCCGCTAGAGACGCATACCTGACTGCATCACTGGACACTAACAGCCATCAGTGCTGCGCTTCAGACGTGCCCACAGCGCTTACGGAACGGCGAAGTGGTAAAGCGCGACGCAGGTTACAGGCACGGAAACGCTATGGAGGTGTCCCCGGCATTCGCTACACGGGAACACGGTAGTGGATTACCGAGGAACGTTTGAAGCAACATGCTGACGTATGTCATGCTCAAAGCATACGAGCATGGCTTTGTCACGGTAAATTGGCTAATGTTGCACGTTGTCCCATCGCCTAATGTGTAAAAATGGATCCAAACAAAAATACACGAATACACGGATCGGATCACAGGAGCACACGGAACACAAGGATCGAATCACGGGAGCACAAACACACGGATCGGGTCACAGGAATACACGGGATACCCAGATCAGATCACAGAAATACACGAAATGCATGGATCAGATCACAAGAATACACGAAATACGCGGATCAGATCACAGGAACACGGAACACACGGAACGAAACACAAAACCACACGGAATACACTGATCGAATCACAGGAACACGCGGAATACGCGGATCAGATCGCAGGAACACGCGGAATACGCGGATGCGCGCAGTCGGCGGACACGTCAAGATGGCACTCACCCGACATATCGAGCGCCTCCACCTTCCAGACCTGGCCGAAGCAGCCCTCGCCCAGCTGGTGGGATGCGCAGATGGTGACGCGGGAACTCCCACTTGCGGTCGGGGCCCGACTCGCCGCTGAAGGACAGGTTCGTCTGGCCCAGGCTCTGCGGCGGCAGAGGTGGACGTCAGGTGGAGGGGGCGAGGAGGTACTGTGGGAGAGGTGGTGGAGGTGATGGGAGGAGGCGGAGAGGTACTGCAGGGGAGGTGGTGGAGGTGATGGCGGAGGAGGCCGAGAGATGCTGCAGTGAGGTAGTGGAGCAGGCAGAGAGGTGCTACGGGGGAGGTGGTGGGGATAATGGAGGAGGAGGCGGAAAGGTGTTGCGGGGGAGGGGAGGTGGTGGAGGTGATGGTGGGAGGTGGAGAGGTTGCGAGGAGGTGGTGAAGGTTATGGTGGAGGTGGTATTGGAGGAGGCTTGGAGAAGGCGAGGAATTTTGTGTGAGAGGTCATGACGGGTGAAGGACGGCTGACTGCCCAAGGTTACGGACAAATGAGACAGATCATCAGCGTCGAGTCATTTCGAGCGAATTCAAATCGACGCATGATTTATCCAAAATTAACGAGAATTGTGGGTTGATTCTTATTCTGATTTTGAATCTGAATCTTGATCCTTATTCTGAATCAATGCGAACACTAGTCAGCTCCGAATCACCCCTCAGAACATTCTGCAGACGAAACCATGAAGGAAATTCAACTCAAACCCAATGTGGAGTAAGAGGCCATTCGCACTACATGTAGCAGCAAGCAAATGTCTTAACCCAACCAAGGCAAGGTATCTAGATTATCGCCAACCAGAGCCTTCGTCCTCATTCTTCCACCGCCTGCTCGTCGCCCCGTCTAGGTGGTTGTTGGTTGTTGGCTGGTTGGCTGGTTGACTGGTTGGTCGGTGGTTGACGTTGCGCTGTGATAGCTCACCAATTTGGTGGCGTCGATCCCCTTGGGGTCGAAGCGTCTCCAGGTGGAGCTCTGTTCGTCGTTCATTTTATCTGAGGTCTCCGATCCGAAGCCAGAGCGTCGCTGGAACTCGATGGCGTACTGCAACGACGGCACCCTCGTCAGGCGCTGGCGGGGTAGGCAGCGCAAGACACGTGAGATGCTCACCAAGATCAACACGCGATGCAAATGAGGTGATACAAATGTGTGTGAGCGCATCCAAATGGGGGCGACAAATGAGGCAATCAAAATGCCTCGAGTTCAATTAAGTCACGACATTACCTTGGCATTTTTTATGATACCCAAGCACGACAACATTAATTATTTATGATTCACTACCTCCCACACCATGCTTGTTGAAGGTACTTTGATTATATCTCACATGTGTTGTGCTTGTAAGCCGCATTTCAAATTTCATCTACCAAAATATCTTGCAGAATGTATGGGGACGCTCGGCGGTTCTAACATACGCATGTCTGCGCCTTGCTAGTTCTAATATTCGGGTGTAACCCCGAAATTCACAACGTTAGCCGGCGTCTCGGCCGGCACACTTTGAAGAGTCACTTACGTTCTCTTCCTTGCGCGTCTTCTTCCGTGCGCTCGACCATTTTCGGTAGAACCAGATGGCGCAGCCGACGGCCAGCACCAGCACCACGCACAGCACGATCGGCACCACAATCGGGGTCGGATCCATCGGACCACCGCTTTCCGGGGTCTTCTCCAAGGGTGCACCAGTCGCGTTCTGTGGCCGTGTTGGTTCTGAAATAAGTGGAAGATCGTGTCAAATGTCGCAGACCTTACAGTTTCGACGCTGCCTTGCAGACCTTGCGTAGATAACGCTACAGTTAAGCGTGGCGGTAGTGGTAACAGCTGCCCTGTGCGATGCGTCATCTCTCTGCCGAGATTTCCTGTCCACCGGTAAGCCACTTCAAGCCTTTCAAGACTTGACAAAAACAAGCACACCACCGGAAGCGTTGGCACTTTCCAAATGGGGTGATATGCCCATGTTAAGCCAATTCATTAAGTTGTCACCATAGTGGTAATGCTACGTGTCCACAAAGAGACAAGGATGGCAGCCCGACGAAAGTTCAGCAGCCGGCCGGATTCGAGCCCGGCGCCCCAGCCACGCTGGCCCTCACCGGTCGGTGACGACCGCTCGTTGGCGGCGCCGCTGGGCCGGTTCGGCCGGGACGGCACGCCCAGGGCGATGGGCCTGGCGGAAGGTCGGTCAAGGTCATCGGGCGCGTCCCGTCGTCAGGGTCACAGAGGTCAGACGTTCCGGACCCGGAGTCACAGAGGTCAGAGATCGCCGGATCGGACAGCAACGTGGCGCCGCTCAGGCGCGTCGTCCGGCGAGAGGCGCCCGGGTGACATGGGGCAGACAACACGCGGTCCACACGTCCTGCACGTCCGCAGGGCGTTCTGCATCTTCAGCGCCAGGAGCCGGGTCTGTGGCCAACGGGTGGCGGTTCGCGCGCGGGACTCCGACAACAGCGCACCACTGCGAGCAGACCTCCCAGGTCGTCTGGGGTGTAGGTCTGATTCCCGCGGAGCGCGCGCGGCCCCAGTGACTTACGCGCGTGGCCGGCCGGGCAGCGCCGCGGCCGCGCCCGCCTTGTCGACCAGGTTGGGCGGCAGCTTAGGCTGCGTGTGGGACGTCGGCGGCTGCTCGAATTCGCTGAGGTTGCCGGTGGGCTCGGTGATGACCACCCAGACGACCGCCACCACCGGTATGTGGCCGTCGTCGGCCGTCACTCGCAGGTAAAACTGCTCATTCTCCTGCCGGGGGAAGGGGAGGGGAGCGAAGTCAGTCATCAGCCCGCCAGCCTCTTCGTCGTAGTGACGCGACGCTGCCGTTCATGCCCGCAGTGCGGGGGCATCAGACGCACCGAATTTAACTGCTAGAAAAACTTACCTTCGATCTTTTGATTGCTGGGTGGTTTATCGAATCGCGCAACATCTTAATGTCCTGACCAAGACAGCAGGCAGCCACGCGAAGCAACATCCACCCATCGTGGAGGCCAGGTGAGCCGAACTGAGCAGCAGTCCACATACCGTGCAGCAAGTGAAAGTTGTCTGCCGCGGGAGTTGAACCCACGTCTTTCTATTCCGCACACAGCGCATGCTGATGTTGATTCGGGGTGTGTGTACCAACCACTCAGCCGCGACTTCCGCGACCCTGCGTGACCTTCTGTAGGTGAGTGGTGCTGATGGTGTTGATCGGTAGCTTTGCTGCCCTGCGTGCTCACAGGCCACTTGGCTAATAACAAATCACTGAAATGGTAGCAGATGTCGCGTGCCTCTGCTATGCCTGCTATGAATCCAGTACTACATCGTCGAGGTCCTCTGTTGATGGCAAATACACTGAACATATTGCCGGTTATAATCAGTTCCAGTGAGCGGTGTGATGAAGTCAGTTTGGAGGGAGCGTATTCTAGATTCTGGGTCGAACGAGTGCTATCAGGTTTCCTTTTGGCTACTAGGCTACTAGGTTTCCTTTTGATAAGACAGTAGTATTAGCCTTATTCCTCGGAAAACCAGGAGAATGCAAATATAGTTTGGTTGATATTTCGGCAACATGACTTTATCGAAACAAAAGCAGAAGAATAGCCTTCCACCTCTGCTTTTGTTTCGATAAAGACATGTTGCCGAAATATCAACCAAACTATATCTCTATTCTCCTGCTTCTTCCGAGGAATAAGGCTTATACTACTGTCTTATCTATGCAAATAATGTTCCTCACTAATGCACTAAACAACTTACGTAGGTTTCCCTTTGAATCAGGTTTCCTCCGTGGTCGAAAACGTGTTCACCACTTGCTTAGATCTTATCCACCCATATCAGAGCCAAACATATAAACTTGGCGATGGCTTCGGAGAGCATAACAGACCAGCGGATGATGAAGAACGCGGTCATTCCTTCTATCTCATATCTCATACCTCATACCACAAGACTCGTCATTCTACCGCATGACGGGACGCCGGGCGATTCAGTGAGGGACATGGAGCCGATTTTCCCAGGGCGAATGATAGTGGGAAAACTAATGGGGTGGAGACGTAAAACTATTTCGCCCCATGGAAGGACAGGCGCCAAGCGCGAGAAGGCAATACGCCGTAGAGCTGCAACTATGAATAATCGACGCATGGCTGCCCCACGCCGCGGGCCGATCAGCCGGCAGAGTGCTGTTTGCTGTGTTTTTTCCTGTGCTATTTACTGGCGCTGTTTGCTGGTTTGCTGTGCTGTTTGCTGCCATACACTGCAGGTGAACCAGCCGGCAGTGTACAACATACACCGCGGTGTACATCGTATGGCACGAATGTGAAACTGCTGCGTTATTCCATGACTTCATTCACATGGAACAAATAACCCAATTGGGATCTGTGTGCGTGATGGTAGTGTACAGATAAATCGGTCTTAACTGGTCGAGACCTACCAAAGAAGTCTTCTAAGTTCGTGTTCCATCAAATGACTAAAACATTTCGATTTAATAGAACTTTTCCGCCTAAAGCAAATCCCAAAATGCTGGAATATTGACATTTCCGTGCTTTGTCTCCCGCTATAGCGCTATGTACTAAATTCGCTACCAGAATAACAGTAGCAACGTATGATGCTTGTCCCCGAGCGGACCACCGAGGCCACCTCGTGCCTCAGACCATTTCTTTGCAATCGTTACAGTATGAAGAGAGTTATGAACTAAAAAAACTACTAAAACTACTATGACTACTAGCAAGTAAAAGGATGTCAAATCAACCGGGGACGTATAGGGGATTTAACTTTTCACATATGTGACTCAGAAACGATTTTCGGTCGCACCAATCTTTGAAAAGCAACCAGTCCGCATCTGTAAGACCTAGCAGACACGCAGTTTGCCTACACATGCAGTTGCCAGAATATCACAATAACTGTTCAGCCGTTTCCGAAATGCAGCCAGTGACCTGCAGGTCACTGACCCCACCCTCGGCTGACCAGTAGGTCACTGACCCCACCCACGCACACAGGCGCGTGCGGACTCACCTTGCCGGTGAGGTCGGCCGTCAGGTAGACGACGCCGGTGACGTTGTTGATGGTGAAGAGGTGGGAGCCGTCCGAGAACTCATCCGGCATGATACCGAAGGTGATCGGGTCGCCCTCCTCATCCTGCGCCTTCGCGCGCGCCACCAGCCGACCGATCTGCAACAGAGAGCAACGCGCGTTGTTTGCCTGATTTGCGAATATGCACGTGCTTAATATTTGCGAATGTTTTGCGTAATTTGTGAATGTTTAACATGCTTTACATTAGCGAATGTTTAACATCCTTTACATTTGCAAATATTTCGCATGATCTCCGAACGTTTAACATGCTCAACATTTGCGAATGTGTTGCATGATTTGCGAATTGGCCTAATGATATGTCACGCCCACTCTGTGAATGCCAGAGGAGTCAGATTATCTGCTACATACCACGTTTCATTCCTCTGTGGAACTATTTATATGTGTATAACTTTCTCACATCCGAGACTCCTCAACGACATCCTTAGATGCGGTTTCGCCAATCCGCAGGATCTGCTGCCGGGCCACAGGTCCGCTCTGTGGATCCCGCATGCGTCCTTGCCAATGGCTGTTTACTATGTGCTGTTTGCCATGTGTTGGTCGCTATGTGCTGCTCGCTGTGTGCCTTTTGCTTTGTGCTGTTTTGGTACGTTCACGACATTCGGTTGCTGGGTTGCCCAAACTCTTTGCATTCGCGCTCTTATTCCAAGTCAACGTCAGGACTCATCAGACGCGCGTGATGTTTCGCTTTTCATCAGGCTACCCCGTCCGCTTCCAGATCGCTGCATCATGTAATTACGACAGCTATATAAACGTCCAGTGTCATGGCCACGTCCAGCGGAGGGGCAAAAGGCCAACGGATTAACATGCACCGAACCGCGCGTGCAGCCGGGAGTCCGCCGGGCAGCCGGGAGTCCGGTAGTGATAATTCATGTGTGCATCCTTCACACCTCACTGCATGAATTTGGAAGCGCTGTAAGCGACATACACCTAAGCCTGCGGACCATACCATGAAGTCCTGCGGCACGGTACAGTCGGGCCCCATCAAATAGAACTCGCCTGCATCTGAAGCGCACGGCCAGTATGCGGGGGTGGCTGACGGGAAAACAAAAACGAATGACCGGTCGCAAGGTCGGGCCTTGCGCGGCTTCAGAAGCAGGGCTGTGTTGCGTCAGTGTGTCTTCTGTGTGTGTCTGTGTCTCGTCAGTGTCTTCTGTGTGTGTCTGCGTCTCGTCAGTGTCACCGTATCTCCTCAGCACGGCCGAGGGCGCGCAGTGCCTATATACGCCGCGCAAATTCACAAACACTACTGATGAGCAGCTGCAGACCCATTTGCAATAATGTACCCCGGGACAAGAACGAAAATAAACCGCGGTGGCGAAAGGTGGGCCTAGGTCGGCTACAGTGGCCCCAGGCTACGGTGGTCCCAGGTGGGCTATAGTGGCCCTGGGCTACAGTGGTCCTAGGTTGTCTACAGCGACCCTACGTCGGCTACAGAGGCTCGCCACGCGTCAGAGATCCGCTGACCCAGCCACAGCGACCGGACGCGTCTCGGGCAGCTCTGGCTCGTGATTCGCGACTCGTGATTCGCGACTCGTGACGTTTCAAACAAGGGGAGTGGGCGGCGGGGTGGGGGATGGGAGTTGGAGGGGAGGGGAGGCAGTTAAGAACGCTGCTCTGTAGATCGCAAGATTGGCGTCAAGCGCTGTGGTCTCCGAAGAAAACGAAATCTACGTATTAAGGGCACGTATTGACGGACTTTTATCTATAGTAAAACGATTTCCATAGGTAAAAAAATCCAGAGGTGAAACTTTACCCATGGACTTTTACCTATGGGGGAAAATGAAAGTACAAGCGCAAGTAAATTTTCAAGATCCAACAGCATGCCAACTCTCGCAGACCGAGAGCACAACACACCGCACGCAACACACGCTTGAAACGCAACACGCAATACAACAACAAACAACACCCGAAGGCATGCCGATATCTTCACGGGCCACAAAGGCAAGCTGATTTATATGTGCATGCAGATGACTTTCTGGACATAATATGTACCACATTTCGCCATAAAAGTGGTTGCCACACAAGAGCCGGCGAGAAGATTCATCATCCAGTCCCCTGGAATGTCAATATACCACGATTGATTGTGTCGTGAACCGATACGGGCCATTAGGACTGCACCGGCTTCACCGGCTCCACCGACTTCACCTCACTACTGGGTCGGTGTCCTTGCAGGCGCCATATGTGGCCGCGAGCTGTTGCAAGGTCATAGACTTGCAAGCATTTCGTGCACTGCGGCTGCTACTGACGACGGGCCTCCGAAGGCGCCGGCCGACTGCCGCCGGTTACATAAGAACAGCGAGCATTACGTAGGCAGAGCAAGGAAGTCATGCTTGCCGAGAGGCTCATCGTGCCTCAGAATAGGCCGGCCAGCTGCCAAGTCCGCCTGCGTCACGGACGGCGGCGTTACAGCCGATGACGTCAAGTCATGTCAGAGCAGGGCTCAGCACAGTGGTCGGGTTCTGTCGCTGTTGTCACTGCTCCCGGTTCAGCGTAGTGATCAGAATAGCATCAGAGAATCGGCATCAGCAGATCAGCATCAGCATCAGGGAACGGGTCAGAGAATTGGCATAGAAGACCATTCGCCAACGGGAAAGATCGAGCGCATAGAAATGTGTGCTCCGGGAAAAGATGCACGCACGCTATACCATGGGGCCCATGTAGCCACTCCACCCATGGCAGAGGGAGACCTGGGCTCAGTGACGTCAGGAACTGGAGCTGACCTCATTCTGCGCGCAGTCCTTCACATAACTCGAGGGGGGGGGGGGACGGCAAAGCGCCAACCGCCTCCATTTATGCAAAAGGTTCGCCCACAACATCGCATGGCAAGTAGCCAGGTAGCAACGACGCCTGCCCCCCCCCCCCCTTTCCCCAGAGCATCTAGCGTCTGTGCCGGGAGCGAGCAAAGCCATAGGTTCGGCCATGCAGTTTGACATTCGGTTAGCTTCAGGTAAGCGTCAGGAACTGGAGCTGGCTCAACAACTCGCTTGGTTCGAATTAAATGTCGCCTCTTGTCATCCGACAGTTGCATTCTCTTCCGTGCAGCTGTAGTTTATAATTCATTAATGATGGGTACCGCATGTGTACAATTTTGCCACTTGCATCGTGGTTGATTGATTCTAGGATTTTTCGGGCGCGTCGACTACCACGGTCATTTTGTCGCCCACAAAATGTCGTACATCACTTGGATCGTATATTCCGATTCTGATCCCATACGAGCGTGAAATGTTCATTTCAAAACTGAGGCATGTCTTCAAAAAACATCACGTTCTTTACCCCAACATTCGCGATAAATGATATTAATGAGCTGGTGTTGCTTGCTAAATTGTCGAACTCCACCGGTCATCTTAATTTTGGATCACACTGATTAAAATCTTTTGACATGGCAAAATTGCTGAATACCACAATGTGCCCCTATGCATACCTGAATATCATATATATATATATATATATATATATATATATATATATATATATATATATATATATGCATATGTGTCACATATGTCACATGTGTGCCACAGAAGACAACTGTCAAAAAAACGTATATATATATATATATATCTCTCTCTCTCTCTCTCTCTCTCTCTCCTCTCTCTCTCTCTCTCTCTCTCTCTCTCTCTCTCTCTCTCTCTCTCTCTCTTCTCTCTCTCTCTCTCTCTCTCTCTCTTCTCTCTACTCTCTCTCTGATATCGCAACGTGACCTCTGTCTCAAAAACAACTTTAGGTATTCACTTTACCAATGCTTGCGCATGCTCGTCTTGCTACTCATGTCTTTCGCCAGTTTATTAGGCCACTTACATCAAATAAGGCAAAGCCCTAGCTAGAACGGCACTGAGAACGAGCCTAGTTAGAGAACGATCTCACCAACACACGAAATGAAAGCGTGGTGACGTTACTACACCCGTGCAGTTTCAAACGATGCCATATGATCATTCAGATGTGACACAATATCAACGCCAGCCGAGCTATGCTACCATCACATGTAGACTAAAAGCCCGGTGAAAAATACGAAAATAACGCCAAAGACTGTGCAATAATAAAAAAGAACCTTGAGGGGACAATTGCTTCATTTAAGGAGTTACTTTCTATAGTAGGATGGGAAAATGGTCTGAGTCGATGAAGTTGGCTAAACCTACACCTAAATCCTGATTTCTCTCCATATTTCGGCCACTTTGAACTGCGTTCCTAATGACAATATCAAAACTAAAAAGTGAAATAATTCCTTAGTTCTAAAGAATGTATACTGAGAAATGACTTCTTCTTTAAAGTCGGTATGACAGTGACATCGTGATCATGATGATATGCATATCATGGTGATGACAGAGAAGGCGACGTATTTAGGATCTTGTGTACCAGTAGTTCAGACGCTTGCTGCATTTTCTTGGCCCCGTATCCTGTTTTACTCGTATGCATTGGTGTGTGTGGGGGGGGGGGGGAGCAGAAGAGCACTGAGAGGACCCAAGTTAGCACTGGCAGTGGGTTCAGGCTCCCCGACGTATGCAAAGCGGACACCACTGGCTCCATCGCGCACTGACCTCCGCCACCAAAACACCCTTGGAGGCTCGGCTCCACGTGCTGCTACCACGCACACCAACGCTCCGCAGGGCCGCCGCACCCCCTGCCCCTCTGCAGACCGCAAAACGCAGTCGGCGAGGCTGGGAGCCGGGACGCAACGAGGGGTGATGGGGTCACACGACCTTGACCCTTGACCCACACTGACCTTGGCGTCTGACGGCAGCGTCCACCGCCGGTCCACCCAGATAATGGGCGGTGTGTTCTGATGGTGCAGCTGGCACGTTGCCTGTAACAGACACAGAGGCGAACCGTCACATTCGGCCCATCGCCACAGAAAGCCAACCGTCACATTCGGCCCATCGACACAGAAGCCAACTGTCACATTCGGCCCATCGCCACAGAAGCCAACCGTCACATTCGGCCCATCGCCACAGAAGCCAACCGTCACATTCGGCCCATCGGCACAGAGACGAACCGTCACATTCGGCCCATCGACAAAGAAGCCAACCGTCACATTCGGCCCATCGACAAAGAAGCCAACCGTCACATTCGGCCCATCGACAAAGAAGCCAACCGTCACATTCGGCCCATCGGCCACAGAGACGAACCGTCACATTCGGGCCCCATCGACAAAGAAGCCAACCGTCACATTCGGCCCATCGACACAGACGCGGCCGCACGAGGCGTCATCAGTCGTCCCCTTCTCTCCACCATGAATCGCCATTGGTCACCGAGGTTGTCCGTGTCTCGCCGCATACAGGGTACGAGCACACAGGGTACGGTGACGAAGTCATTGCGACATTGAGGAATCAAGCACTCGCATTTGCCTCTTTCCAACGCAAGACAAAGGCCGGCTGGTCGATTTTCCTTGACCTGCTGCGAAAACTCCTTTAAAAATCGTCATTTCCACCCTCACCGGATGCGCCGAAGTTCGCGTTCCCAGCTCCAGACCGAGCGTGAAGGCCCAGAAGCTTGGATCGTTGCTCACTAGCCATTATGCACCGGTGGCGACACGACGGCCCACACGCCGCGGAGGCGTCTGGTGGTGCAATTGAGGTGTGTCTGGCAGTGCATGCAAGTGATGATGATCACCTATTGCATAAGTTATTGATATGGGCTATACATCGGCTATACACGAGCTATTATCATCGCAACAGCTCATACTATTATAGGGACTATGAGCTAAGAGCTATTCTATGAGTGACTTATAACGCCACTGGGGCACGAACCAGAGCAACGCGCCGGCAGTGAGATTCGGAACCCACGCCTCCATCGGTTCACGTGTCGGGGTGTGTTCTCCATTGGCTAGTCTTTCTCCTACACCGTAGTCTCTAAGAGAAGCACCGCAGCTCGCGGTCCATTCTTCGCATCGGGACAAATGTGCATCCCCGACACTCTCTCCGCTCAGAAAGTCATATATATATATATATATATATATATATATATATATATATATATATATATATATATATGGCTGTATCGTTATATATCGTTCATGATAGATCATGAACGCGCCGGCAGTGATAGATCATGAACGATAAACATGAGCGACAGATGAAGGCTTCGCTTAATGCTGGGAGGTCGCAAACATGGCACCCAAAATAATAAACACGAGCATGATAGCTAAACATAAAGAAAGTCATAAACGCGTGATCTCCTGTCCATCCCGCGCCTCTGAGTAGAGCACGCGCTGAGCCCCAGCGAGCTTGCCTTCCCAAACTCGGCGGTGTCGTCTCAGACGCCGCCGGCGCATGTAACGTTCGCGACGAGCGGTGGCGCGGCGCCCGGGCCGCGGCACGAGCAGTGGCGCGTCAGCTGATGACCGGTGGAACGGCAACAACTTGTCACTGTGACCGAGCCCGCCGCCGGACGCAGCGGCGCACTCCGGTGCGGCACCAGAGGGCACGAAACGACCCCGCCTCGCTCGGGTCGAATGTTCCGGCATATTTTCGGTAGTCATGTTAAGTTTTCAATTTGGTTATGGTATTTATGGTTGCCTGTCGACTAGCCCGAAGTTTTTTTTAGCCTGCTAACAATCTGGTATCACCCCTGGTCGGGTGACGCACCTGCATTCGTGGAATTGGTGGTCCTTGGTTGACCCCAAGGCGGAGCCCACTCCGTACCGCCGCACTCGATGCACCTGAGTACGCCTCTGCCCGCGTCGCTACCCGCTGGCCAGAACAGCTCGGCTCGCACGGGTCGTCTACGGTGCGGTCTTTGGGCGCGGTGGCAGGAGCGAGTCCAGCCATTCGACTTACGGGGTGCGGTTAGGTGATGTGGGTCGGGAATGTATGGACGCGGTGTGTGTACAGAAGGCAGCAGAGTCAACTCTCCTTCTTTCTCCCTTCCCCCGCTCTCTATCCTCTTCCTCCTCTCTCCCCTCTCTCTCTCTACTTTTCTCTCCCTCTCTCTCCCTCTTCCTCCTCCCTCTCTCTCCCCTCCTCCTCTCTCTCCCCCTCGCTCTCCCTCCCGCGCTCTCTGTCCCTCTTCCTGCTCTCCTCACTCCACTCCTCCTCTCCTCACTCCCACTCTCTCTCTGCTTTTCTTTCCCTCTCTCTCCCTCTTCCTCCTCCCCTCTCTCTCCTTCCTCCCGCCCTCTCTCTCTCTCCTTCTCTTTCCCTCTTCCCGCGTGACAGCCGGCCATCGGCGGACCCTGTATCGGTGTCGCGTCGCCGGCTGGCCGGGACGGGGCCCAGTTCGCAGCCGCGGTCGCGCGCCACGGCGGTGTTCACACGACTCCCAGTTCGGCGCCAGTCGGCGCGACCGCGTGGCCTGGCTGAGGCTCGCCAGCAGCGCGGCCTTCGCGTCCTTCTTCAGCGGTGTGGCACATGTGGTCGCAACTCTAAGACTTAGGAGCGTTAGAGGGGCTTAGGAGCGTTAGAGATGTCCTCAAAATTTGGTTCGACGTTTTGTTAGCCGCGGCCGCAGCTCAGCCATGTAGCGTGGCGGCAGATTCGGTAAAGAGGGGAAGGAGCAGACGCGGCAGCCACCCCCTCCAGCCAACGTCGGACACAAATCATATGCACCTTACCGCGTTGCATGGAAAGAAACGGCTTACAGACCGGTCTCCTTTTAAGCCCGCAGGGACCCCGCCGCTACAGTAAGCAGCAGGGCAAGGTTTGTGGTTTGGACTGGCGCCCTGAAACTGGATGACGCAAATCGAAGCCAGACAATCATCCCGCCCAGGCTTCGCCCTGGGGAGCAGGCTGCGGTGAGCAACCAGGCAACACCGCCCGGTCATCCATATCTGCGCTGTAACGCCTCGTGAAGGGACGGACAACCCCGTCGTCCCAGCTCGTGCACTGTCACGGCACACAAGGGCTTCACCGTCCCCGTGTTTTATATCACCGATCATCGCCCGGCGCTTGTCACCCTCCGCAGCGGAACCGGGAACAATGGGAGCGCGGTGAAAATGATGACGTCATAGCCGCAGCCCGGTCCAGGTTTCCGCGCATTGTCGGCGGGCTCGAGGGCTACGGGTGTGACGCTTAGGGAAGCAACATGTGGCCGACGTCACGTGATCGCACGCCGCCGCCAGCTCCGAGCACCACACCCGGCTTAGAATTACCTCAGCTTAATTATCTTTAATTAATGTTGATTAATCAAATGAGTTGATCAATTTTAGGTCCTAATTCGATCAACAAAATCAGCAATGTTTATACAAATTATGCATATTAACATATAACATATATATATATATATATATATATATATATATATATATATATATGTATATATACATACTTCACAAAACTAATTGATCCTTATTATTAACTGATTAAAGCTGATTTACCACAATTCATTCAGTTCCATTTGAGGTTCATCTTCTTGTACGCATTAAACAGCACGATAGGGATTTCACGTCCATGCTTTCTGGGTCTTTCGTCGATCAGTGTTCTCATCTGCGTCCTTGCTCTTGAATCGAGCCCATCCCGTGGTGAGTCCATGCCCACTGATCCCGTAGTCAAACCATCGTGATCACGTTGACCTCGTTGCTGACGCCTGAAGCGCATCATACTCGTTCATCACCATTTGACGACAATATCATCAGTTTATTAGTTATACCTTATCGTGAATAAACGTAAGTAGGATGTTACCATCGGACTTTACCCGGCCGGAGGTGAGTCCTGGGCTCAAGATCTCCCGAGACCACGGGAGGAGGGCCTTGCGTTTAATTCAGGATGTTGTTTTTACGGCAACAACGTGATATATCGGGCCGATTCATCTAATCAATCATCAGGAGCTATGGAGGAGCAACCAGGAGCATCAGAAGCTTCACCTAATCAGCTATCAGGAGATATGAGCAAAGATTCATGTCGTGTTTTTCCTGGTGACAGCCTATTCCAGGTGCTGGGACATCCAGCAGCCTAACTGACCTCCAGTGACGGGGTCACCCAGTAGCTTGACCGGACCACAGTGACGGGTCACATGGGTCATGCGCCAGCTGGGACCAGTATTTACACCGCGGCCCGGTGGCGCCTGGTAAGGTGTCATGCTGTTTGTAGCCTGCATTGGCAAGCCGTTGACTTTGATTGCCGATGAACACGACGTCTGGGTTAAGTCTGGCATTTCATCGGCGCAGATGCCGCTAAAGGACGTTGCGACATAAACTGTTTTTGCGGTTGAGATAAGTCCCAGATGCCTCCAAATTCCTTGTACGCAGTCTAAAGCTATGAGCCTCAGCGCGTGAGTTAACACATGCGCATGTCTGCTGACGGCTATGAATACCGTCCGCGTCCGCTCCGCCGCAGCCGATCTTCGCCGTGGCTACCCAGGTGGGCCCCGCCTTACCAATCGTCGGCTTTCCGTGCACCGTTGCTGAGGAGTACACAGAGGCGCGCCCAACGGGGGAGGTACGGGGGAGAGAGAAGGGCCGTGGAGCAGGCAGGTACCTCACAAAACCACGGTTGAAACGTTACATAGGTCAGTGTTCGTAAAGCATCTCGCTGTCGAGCCTTCCTTTTACAGCAGCGCCATGTTTGACGGGGATTAGTTAGTAAAGCAACACTAAATTCACCGCGCAAGCTCACCAAGTCGTGGAAGAGCTGTTTCTCCCTGAGCTTCATGTCGCTGGTAGGCCTTTGCGATATGAACGAGGCTACAAACTGATGTTCTCCATGCCGATATGGGGCCGATGACACGAGCGAAAATTCCACGGGGTATCCTGTCATCTCCCTTTTTTAGATACGTCTAAACAAACAAAACTGCATGAGCTTTGCGTTCCGTTTGAGTCAATAAGAGTCCCGGTATCGGCAATGCATGAGAGTTCCATAACAACACACATGAAAGTTCTTCATGGGAACAAACAACTACACACACAAACTAACTACATGTAAACGAGTCGCAACAATCGCTGACCCCAAATGTATGCATATGCTGTGAACTCCGTGGACAGCTCCCGTTATCAGTCGGTCTCGGCGCCCAGACAGAGATGAACTCGTCAGTTGATTTATCAGAGCCGACATCATGCCAGAAACTGAAGTAGCGCTTTCGATCAAGATTGTGTCATCATTCATTCATCAGAACCTTTACTCCGATAATTTTCTCTGGGTGTGCCCCGTGGAGAACCCACGCTATTTCTCGAAGTTATTTTTGGTACGTCCTGTGCTTGGGTCCTGTTCCGATTGTCTGTCGTCTGTGGGCCCTGTCTTCTTTAAAAATGACTCGACTGAGAGTCTCCCTGCGTCTCAGGACGCCCTTCAGCTAGTCTTGCCTCGTCTGGGATCTTTCTCGATTCATATGCCTCCTCCACCTTCCTGCTCCCTTCTCACTTTTTCTCCTTGGCACGACCTAACGCCTCGCGGCACCTTCCCAGTGGCGACAGGACGGCGGCAATGGAGCCGCACCTCCGCCACGGTCGTCGGCAGCGGCTGCCCCGCTGTCTCTGGCATCACGAGCAGCACCAGCACACCGGCCGACACGGCCAGCACTCCGAACGTGACGCTGGGCACCAGCCAGTGCAGCGCGCCCAGGCCGTACGCCACGTGCGGACTCAGCGCGCCGCCCAACGCCTCGGCCATCGTCGACATGCCGAGTGCCGCCGAGCGCACCTCGGTTGGCATTGTCTCCTCGATGTAGACGTAGATGACGCCGAAGCCGGCGCCTATGGTGCACTTGCTGAGCAGACCAAGCAGCAGGACGGCCCAGCCAGCCGAGACGGCCGGCACCAGGAGCATGGCGGCCGCTGTCAGCAAGTAGCAGGCGGCCATGATGCGGCGCCGGCCGAAGCGGTCGATGAGCGGCGCGGCGAATACAGACGGTAACTCCACCAGCCCGGCCAGGCACATGGCCAGGTAGGCGTCAGCCGCCAGTTGCGCCGAGTCGAACGAGATGCCGTAGTACACGACGGCCATGGCGAGCCACAGCCACGCGGTGGTCAGCGACAGGGTGGCCATGCGCGACGAGCCGAGCAGGAGGCGCACCTCACGGCAGCAGGCGGCGGCGCCGGGCGGCGGCGGCGGCGGCGCCAGCCGCGCCAGTCGCGCCGGCGCGTCCGCCGGCAGCCGACGCCCGTTGAGACGCGCCACCCGCTGCAGCACGCGCAGCGCCTCGTCGCCGCGGCCCTGTGCCGCCAGCCAGCGCGGCGACTCGGGCAACAGCCAGATGGCCGGAAGCATCGGCAGCGCCGCCGCCGCCATCAGCAGCTGCAACTGCCACCAGCGGCGCAGCAGCCAGCCGGCAAGCGCCGTGGCCATGATGCCCAGCGCCCAGGGGAGCACCCAGAAGATCCCGGCTATCGCACGGCGCCGCTCAGCGATCGACTCCATGCAGAGTGTGAAGAAGCAGATGTACATGCCGACGTGCGCGAAACCCGAGACGCTGGTGGCGACCAGGAAGGTGGCCAGGTCGGTCGCGGCGGCCACCAGCGGCGCCACCAGCGCGAACAGCAGCGTGGAGACGGCGCAGGCGCGCGCGCGTCCGTACCGGTCACCCATCAGACCAAAGACGAAGGCTCCGGCCAGCCCGGACAGCATGGCCAAGCTGACAGTGAACGAGCGCAGCGCCGTGCGGCCGCACACCAAATCGAAGTCGGTCACCACCGTCGACGCGTACACGCTGCGGTCGTACGTCCACTCGACGCACGTGCCGTGCGTGCCGTTGGCGACGGGTACGTGGCAGCGGTGGGCAGCGCAGTCCGGCGCGCCCGGCCGGCACAAGAGTGTGCGGTTGGTGTCGTCGCGCACGCACCAGTACGCAGGCTCGTCCATCTTGAACACCAGCGAGAAGGTGTTGATGGCCGCGCTGAACGCCGCGAAAGAGGTGGCAAGCACCAGCAGCACCTGGAACAGGCCGTCGCCGCCGGCCAGCTCCAGCAGGTCGTCGAACGTCTCCGGCGCCGCCTGCTTCACGGCGTCGGGTTTGTCGTGCGGATCTGTGGCTGCGTGTTCCGCCGGGCCGTCGAGCAGTGTCGGGGGCGACGCCGCTGCCGCCGAGCCGCCGCTGCTGCCGAGGCCGTTCTGCCCCATCTCCGGCCCGAGCGGAGTGTCTTGCGGGCCGGCAGCCTGCTGGGCCCGCTCACCTTCCATGTCAGAACAGGACGGAACGGAGCAGTCACCAGACCGAACAAGTCAGGACCGTTAGGGTCAGTCAGGACCAGTCAGGACCAGTCAGGACCAGTCAGGACTAGTCAGAACCAGTCAGGACCAGTCAGGACTAGTCAGAACCAGTCAGGACCAGTCAGCACCAATCAGCACCAGCCAGCACCAGTCAGGACCGATCAGGACCAGTCAGGACGGACCTACGCGGCAGGAACTGCCGGACCGCACGAGCGACCGCCACACTTTTCAGCCACACGCTGACCCAACGTCGTTATACGATGAGCTTTTCTGCACAGTTAGCTTTGCTTGCTTACTTGCTCGTCCACTTTAGCAATGGTCCCCTCATTGCAGGCTTCCGTACAGACCATGTTTCATCTAAGTATTCACTAAAGACCAGCTGAAAGCAGTAAACCGCGACTTAGACCCCCTTCCACGCCGTCAGCAGCGGCGACTGAAACGTCTTTCCACGCCGTGAGCAGTGACGACAGAGACAACTCATCAGACTTTGGGCGGCGCCTTCAGACCGGTAGCAGCGACGACAGAGACGACTGATCAGACTTTGGGCGGCGCCTTCAGACCGGTAGCAGCGACGAGAGAGACGACTCTTCAGACTTTGGGCGGCGCCTTCAGACCGGTAGCAGCAGCGCAGACGACCAAGCGAGGTGGCACACAGATGGCGTCCGAGAGCGAGAACCGCGACGCTTCTCCGCCGCCAGCGCTGTTGCTCACAAGTCAGCAGAACCCGCTCGTCCTCCAGTGAGCATTCCACGGCGTGGACAAGGAGGAGAGGGTGCTTCTGCTGGTGGATCATGCGGTGGACTGCTGCCGATGCCGGATCGCGCGGTGGGCTGCATCTGGTGCCCGACAACGCGGTGGACTGCCCCCTATGCAGGATCACGCGGTGAACTGCACCCGATGCAGGATCACGCAGAGGATTGCATCTGATGCCAGACCACGCAGTGGAATGCGCCTGATGCCAGATCACGTGGTGGACTGTGTCCGATGCCAGATGGCACAGTGTAGTGCTCACGCCCTAGCCCTCGCACGTTAGCCACCAGCCTCGGACTGGGCCTGTGGGTCGCGCGCGGCCTAGCACCCCCACATCCTGCAAATATCTGACACGTGTGTCTTGATGTCCATTGGCTGTTGCTAATCCCCTCACTTGGGATCGACCAATCAGCGCTGGGCCGGACACCAGCCAGCTGATCATCTCTACGCTTCAGGTCGTCGGCGAATCGGGCTTGCAAGGTCACGGATGTGGGGTGTCGGGCCGGGGTTAAAGGGCAAGGCATTAACAGCAAAAAAACATTCCGGAGACCGAGACGGCGGAGTCAGAGGTACGATAACATGAGTTCGTATTAGCCCCTCCGGCACCCAACTAGAGGCATTTTGCCACGATGCTCCAGCACGTTCTTAATTTCGAGATGCCATTGGAGGCAGGCTTTATTCAAAAGCCGTGGGCTCCTTGTTTTTGAATCCGGCTGATGCCAGAGACCCCTAGGCGATACATCATGTGGCGTCGTAGTTTACGAAAGATAACAGACCAGCTTCGCTTGACAATTGCCAGGCAATGGCTGAAAAAGCAAGAGGAGGTTTACAAAGACCCCTCCACAAACCGCTTCGCAAGGCCAGCAAATCCCGACAGGCGCTAACGCGCTAGCACGTAAACACCATTCGGCGTGGGCATGGGCGTGGTGACGTCATCACACACGTGGAATGCACTGGAGTAGTCCTGCACGTGCATCAGGACCACGCCCCACGAAAGATTTTAGGGCGTGCCGCAGGCGGAGGTTATTTCGCTCCCATATCAGGACAACACCATTGTTTGCTCTGCTTAAAGCCTTCCGGGTCGTAACTTGGCTTTCGTGCCCCCCCCGCGATCTGGGTGGGGGAAGGAGCATGTAAGGCATCTTTTCTGCCCCCCCCCCTCCCGACTCCTCCCAGCTTCAGACGCCTCGCCACGCCTCTGATTAGCGTGTGGCGTTACTCAGACTGACGCAGGCTCTGAGCTCAGATCAGGCGGGTGCGGCCCCGTGATTAGGGAGCGTCGAGAGTACACTGGACTCAGGCTGAAGTTTGGGTGAGTTGCAATGGCTCAAATGGTGGACCCCACGCAGGGGCGTACCTAGGATTTTCTTAAGGGAGGGGGAGGGCGGAGCTCGGTAAGTAAACATTACGTCGATTTTTACCTTGCTGTTGAGAGCCTTCTATACCAAAATACGAAAAATCCTGGGCTAAGGAGGCCCGAGCCATCCCACCTGGGGCACTCTCCTGGCTGCGCCCCTGCCGCCATGGCGTAACTAAACGCCACACGGTACAGTGGCGGCAGTGGCCATGAAGGGAGCCCAGTGCTGATCTGACATTATCTGAAGTAGAGACTGATAAAGTTGAGCCATGCGGTGTAAAACACGCGCAGGTCCCTGCAACATGACTCTTGCGAGATTATCTGAGAAGGGAAGTGATCAGCGTGATCTGCATGACCTTGAACCAGTGCAGGGAGTCGTCTGCAAGATGGCAGGCAGTGGCCAGACGCAAGCTGGCAAAGCTGATATTTGGCATGGGTGCGCACTAAGATGCATCAGTTAGAGCACAGTTCGTTTATCTCCTGTGATGTTGGTGCGCTGGTTACCGTCGATGAAAGTCTGACTGTGTCTATTTAGAAGTTTGCGGAATTTTTCAGGGGGTGTTTTGAAAGCAGGTATTGTGTTGCGAACGCCCGAATAAGGGCAATAGCGACAACGCGTTAGCGTGCATGTCAAGATACTACTCTGCATATGGGGTATTGTTCTATTGCTGTCATTTTCTTCCCTATGTCTGTTAAATCATTTCTGGCTGTCATGCCATGATGAGCATTCAATTCAAGAATGAAGACAACTAAATAATGCTAAAACTCCGGGAGCGTGAGGCAGTATCGGGAGCTGCAGTGAAGCGCGAAGAAGTGTACGCGCCATCTGAAGGTTTGTCGTGCACGTGAGAGTTACAGTGGCCTCCAAACACTCTTTCATGCAGGCCACCAGTTATCAGCTTGATCCCAGCTCCTCGTAAAAGAGCATGTACCTCCTTGATAGCATCGTTGGCCGATTTGCAGCCGGGATAATGCTGCCGCGATAGCACAAGGGAGGAAGGTGAGTGGGAGTGTAGCGACGGGTGTAAACCACAAATATGGGTATGAGTCACATCCCCCTAGATTACCGCCTGTTGTGACCGCGCGACCGTAACAGCCCCAGATACCCGGCAACACATGACGTGTTGGTGGTGCAGCTGCCCAGTCGACTACGGTTGTGCCTGCAGATGACCATGGAACGGTCTCGCACCATCAGCTGTCATGATGACGTCATCAGCAGGCCATCAGCTGTCATGATGATGTCATAAGCATGCCATCAACTGTCGTGACGATGCCATCAGCATGTTGTTAGCTGTCATAATGGCGTAATCAGCATGTTATCAACTGTCATGATGGCATTATCAGCAAATCATTAGCTGCCATGATGACGTCATCAGCACGTCATCAGCTCAGGCAAGCGACGTATGAGTAGCCGACGCGCTTCATCATGCCAATCATCATCGTCAAGCCGGTGGCCGACGTCTGCCTGCGGGGACCGGCGTATCTGTATCTACTCATATCTGTATCTACTCATATCTGTATCTACTCTGATCTGCATCTGCTTATCGAGATCTGATACGGCACGCCGGCGGCATCAGATCTCTCCATTCACCGTGTAGATACCGCAGTACAACACCGCACTGACACCACACGATCTCCGCAGACACCACACTGTAACGACGCTCGCAGGAAAGTCTCACGGTCGTGGCTGGCAGCCGGCCGCAGCACCAGAAACAAACAGGTCTTTCGAGCAAGGACGAATGGTGCCAGTTGGATCGTGCTATAAGGGGCTCCGTGCGGGTCAAAAATTAACATTTGCGAGACGATGATATCAGGAACAACATTTTCTAGTACTCCGTGGGAGACTGCCTCGACGCAAGCGTTAAGTTTCATATGGTACAATGCAAGGAGGAGCATTGAAGACCACACGGAAGGCGACAGACGAAGGTGACATACGACATACGACATACGACGCTAACATAGCCAGCAACAGGTAAATTTTTTCACGGCATTTGAATGCTGCTGATAAACGCAGAAAATCGGTGGTGTGCGGTCCCCGAGTCATTTTTGGCTAAAATAAAACGACAAGACGCTGCATGATTCTATTTCAGAAACTGGCCACGCGGCTCAGTCCCCTGAAAAAATCCCGCAAACTTCTAAACAGAGACAACCAGACTTTCATCGAAGGTAACTGACCCGACTCACTTTCACAGTAACCTCTTGCACCTTCGCATATCACTGCTTTTGATAACGTCATGCGCCACTGACGGGTCGCGCACCTCGAGCCTGTCACGTGACCGCAGATCTAAGATGGCTGCTGATGTGTCACGGTCATGTGACTGCGGCGAGTTTGTCGCGCGCGTGCGAGCGCAGGTCTCGTCCTTCATTTTCCGTGACGAAAGAAAAACTCTCCACTTTTAAACCATGCCGCTTAGGCAGACCGGCTGATGGGCCAATGCATTTAATATTTGTATTCTTAAGTTGCGCATGACTGCCACTGGATATGGTGCTTGTATGGTGCTTATATGGTTTATATGACCCCGGAGCGCGATAACAAATTTCATACAGATTCGGGGTTACGTTTCATGGGACCGAGCTACGGTCAGGCTTGAGTTTCAGCGAGCTACGAGCCAGGAACAACTTGTCGACAGCTGTCTGGCTGACATCGCGTTGCTCTTGACTGTGAAAGATGGCGACGTCCGAAACACCACCGCCAACTTCAGCCGCTGACTTACACGCTAGTTTTTTGTTTTTGTTTTTGCATTTCCACGTAGTGTTAGTTCCGTCGCCGGTCTTGCTGGCCATTATTGCCGCCATCGAACGGCACGCGCGACATAGGATCTGGACCTGAACTGTAAACTCTGTAAACAGTGGCGACCGGCATGACCACGGCCATGTACCTTGCCGGCGCCACGCAAGGGCGTTCCCAGGAAAAAGACATCTTAGTATACCTCCCCTTTGCATGGGGAAACATTTTCCGGACCGCTTCGCAAGTGCCATCTGAGAACAGTAACAACCAGACGCATGGCTTCAGTCTGTTTCTACATTTCTCGGTGTTCTGCCCCGACCTAGCCAAGTAGGTCCGCTGGATCCGCCCATGCCTAATGCCAGCCGTGTCTGGTGTCTGACGGCTCTGGCAGGACGTTAACCTTGCCGTGACGTCACTGAGGCAACAAACCCGAACATCTCCGACGCGTAGTTGCCCCGGGCGCATAGCTCGCGTGCTGTTGAAGACCGAAATGACAGCGCTCATGTGCCGCTTGG